CCAGGTCATTAAGCTGTTTTGCAATCCGTCATCAGTGTCGCCAACACCTGGGCGTAGCCCACCCCCAAAGGCGACTCGAGCCGCCAACTATTTCTCGATTCGCCGAAACTAATCCCTTCCTATCTCTCCCCCCGCTGCCCGCTGCCGCCCCGTCGCCAAGTGACCTTTTTCCTATTCGAGACTTGGAGACTTTTAACGATCCTATTGTTTAAAAAAAAACCTCCGCTCAACACCTGGCATTGCAACCTAGTATAGCCCGTGCAGAAGCTAGAGCACCCTCACTTTCTAATCTTTCAGAAATGTCGAGCACGTCGGAAAAGACGGTTTCACCCAGCGCCTCAAAGCAATCGTCAATAAAATCATTCGAGCTCGCAACAAAATCTCCGAAGCTAAGACCCCAGAATGGTCAACCTATTAACGATTCCCTTCATGCCGAAGGTCAGCCGAGGCAACCCGAGAAGGGTTCCATCAAGAATATGTTAACCCGAATGTTCTCCAATAAGGACGACGTCCCCAAATCCGGCCTTGTTGATGCCTCACAGCCCTCCAAGCGTGCTGTTCCCAGCCCATCTCCCAGCCAGACTGGTGTCGCATCCGCATCACCAGCGAAGCCAGGTTCCGTAGCACGCAAACCATCTTCAGCTGATCCATCCGCTGCGACAAAGTCGGTGCATCACCAGCGTTTTGTCATGAATCCAAATGTTGCCGGCGGCCACGAGCATCACCTTAAGGGTAGCAAGCGACAAGAGAAGCTATCCGACATGTGGAAGACCCTCCTCGGAAGGAAACAAGATCAACCGCCCGAAGCCGACCTGTCCTTGGTCTCCAGCTGGGTTGATACTCTGAAGCAAGAGAAGGAGTCGCTAGCCGGCGACAGGAGAGGAGGACCCAACCAGAGCTCCACCCTAGTTGAGAAGTATGGTAAATGCCAGGAGGTCGTAGGCCGCGGCGCCTTCGGCATCGTAAGGATATCGCACAAGAAAATGGAAAACGGAGAGAAGCTTTTCGCAGTGAAGGAGTTCCGTCGCAGACCCGAAGAAACCGAGAAGAAGTATAGCAAACGTCTCACAGCCGAGTTCTGCATCTCTTCCTCGCTGCGCCATCCAAATATCATCCACACCCTAGACCTACTGAAGGACCAAAAAGGCGACTACTGCGAGGTCATGGAGTATTGCTCCGGCGGCGACCTTTATACTCTCGTCCTAGCCGCCGGAAAATTAGAAGTGGCGGAAGCGGACTGCTATTTCAAACAGATGATGCGCGGCGTTGAGTACTTGCACGAGATGGGCGTAGCGCATCGAGACTTAAAGCCGGAGAATCTACTTCTGACAAGCCATGGCGCCTTGAAAATCACCGATTTCGGCAACGGCGAGTGCTTCAGGATGGCATGGGAAAATGATGCCCACATGGTATCGGGTCTTTGCGGTTCCGCGCCTTATATCGCCCCCGAGGAATACATCGACAAGGAGTTCGACGCCCGCGCTGTCGATGTCTGGGCTTGTGGCGTTATCTATATGGCGATGCGAACCGGAAGGCATCTTTGGCGAGTCGCCAAGAAGGACGAAGACGAATTTTACGAGCGATACCTTGAGGGGCGTCGCGACGAGGAGGGCTATGGCCCGATCGAGTCGTTACACCGTGTAAGTTCTCACCAATAGTCCTATGACTCGATGCTCTTGCATGATACTAACGAATGACGTGAAGGCACGGTGTAGGAATGTCATCTACTCCATCCTAGACCCCAACCCTACGCGACGTATCACAGCATCGCAAGTGCTCAAGTCAGAATGGGGCCGCGAAATTAAACTCTGCAAGGCTGGTGAAGAAGGTGTTTAAGAGATGCCGCTTTTTCCGAACGAGCACTTCCCTCTTTTGAGTAAGGGACGGGAGCGTTTTAATGGCCAGATTTGACCTTGAAGTGCTGTATCGTCCCTTTGGTGTCCTCATCCCCTGTAGAAGATGTCGACCCTGATGTGCTTCGTTGCCTTGCCGAAAAGAAGAAAAGATTTTCCATAAGCCAATCAAACCCGCAAGCATGAGTTCTCAGAATTTTCTTCTTGAACTAAACATCCTTTCATTTTGCATGGAGTTCTGGTGAAATCACGGTTTCTTGCATTTATCTTTTTTATTCTCGAGTTCGTATTCCCATTACACATTTTAGTCTCGAAACCTCGGATTACGGCACCGGATTCCATGCGCAGCGCATCAAAACAGGGTTGTTGAATAGATGCGCCATGCGCTCTGCGAGTGAGCGTCAAGTAGGAAGACAGCTCTTATATTCATTGTCATGTATCGGGATAGACGCATAACTCGCATTTCTCATGGGCTGCTGCAGAGAGGAAAAGGAACTGGGCGGCTAGGGGGTTGCCTTTTATTCTCGGTTAGGTTCGCCTGCTTGGACGGCGTGACTAGGGGCGGATGTCGCATAGCCAAGATCTGGTTTGTTCATTCATGGGGGCCTTCTGATTCGGAGCACTCTAGATAGGTGGTAGGCGGTATAGTTGAAGTTTAGAAGCTCGTCGTCGCGTCCTGTATCTCAAACTTCTTCCCGGTGCGGATGGCAAGGAACGGTCTAAGGCTTTAAGGGGACGAATCAGTAATACTTCTGGAATAACAGTACATATCAGTCCCCCCTTTCAACATTTTATAACCAGGGCAACGGACGAACGGAGGGACCCTCGATTGCTAACGCACATATGAAATACCGTGGCCCTCGCTTTACCCAGCAAATAAGTTGGATACGGACGGATACTAGGAGGTTCAGACATACCTACTTGTCGAAATGGGCGTTGACCCAGAGAATCGGGAGGTCTAAATAGCTATACGTATCGACTCTTAAGTACATACGGCGAATAGCTCAAATCACGAGAAATACGAACGACACGACGTGTCTATGAAATCAATATTGAATCAATTCATGAATCACATACATGTCATCTTCGTGACTGGGTTTAATAGGCTTCTTGTTTCCAATTTTGGTCCCGTATATGTTTACACAAATGAGTATCCTCGTTCTCACCTAGGTACCAAAACTTAATCGTGACTTGAGACTTAGTTAAGGAGATATTTTCCCCTTAAATTGTACTTACCAAGACATCTACGAAACGTAGTGGTAGATAGGTAAGACAATTCTCGGATCTCGGATACGTTAAGTTGGGCTACCGAGAGATATGCTACACTGTGTTGTCCTTATTTCTAGTAAAGACCTATCAGATCCTTCAGTAAACCACTACTACTCTCGTATCTACCTACCTAGGTGCCATCTCACGCCTTATCCTTCCCTAACGCCTCTAAGTACTGGCTCGCCACATCCACTACGGCGCTCTCAAATGTCCCCAGCTTCCTGCCCAACAGCTTTTCCACCTCCCCACTCGTCTCATAGTTAACGGGCAGAGTAGGGACCTTGCCTCTCGTAAAAACGCCCTCCTGAACAGCCTTCGGGAACGCCTTAGCTACAATGTCAAAGATGGCGTCGTAGTCGACAGGTGTAGAGACGCCGTAATCCTCAACTTTAGCCCGCACCCCCGAGGTCTCCAAGAACAGAACAGCCAGGTGTAGGTCTGCGAGGTCATCAATATGCACAAAGCCCCCGTGGACCGGGAACGGCGGCTCAGCACCCAGCATCCCCATCATGAGGAAGTTATTCGAGCTGTTCTGCGTCCGCATCAAGCCGGCGTTGAAAGCAAGCGGGTTGCGTCCGAAGACGTATCCCGGGACCACGTGCGCGATGCTGAAATGCGGGTTCTGCGTTCGCGCGAATGTGTCTGTGTTGTGGAGGGAGACCATCTTCCCCGTTACGTACGCTGAGAACACGTCGTCGAAGGTCGAGGGTAGGGGGGAGGGGAGCGGGACCCGTGTTGATGCTGTTGTTGGGGTGGGAGTAGCGGGGGCTGTTAAGCCCAGGTTCGCTACGATGGACGAGGTTATCACGACACGCTGAATGGTAGGAGTCTTCAGCGCAGAGGACAGCAGGTTCGCTGTCATCTTGACGTTGGGTTGGAACACCTCCGTCATGGGGTCGAACGTGGGATATGGGACGGGGGAGCCCGCGTGGATGATATGCGTTACTCCTCCCTCTAGTGCGGTGTCAAAGGCGCCGTCGGCGCAAAAGTCGGGGATTATGACGGCAGAGAGACGGTTCCCGTCTAGAGCCAGTTTCTGCACTGCTGGGTTCGAGGAGACGAGGCGCGCTTTCTCTTCCGAGCGCACCGTGTACCGCACATTGTGCCCGCCGGCGAGGGCGGCGAGGAGGACGCGGAAGCCTATTAGCCCGGAGGCCCCGGTGATGAGGATAGTCGCGGCCATCGTGCTTTCGTCTTGCGTCCGTGTGCGTAGTTTTATATAATGTTAGGTATCTAGAAATCAGATATGCGGCAACGAAGGCTGCGAATACTCATCTATCACGCAGTATACGTTTGTCCTACTACGCCGCTCACTTCTATTGGTCATACCCTCTGCATCTCATCTCCCCTCGCCACCCCCTCGTCCCAATACTTCCCAAGGGATTTTTACTCTTTCTCTAAGTAGTGGAAACGACCTTAGAGCCATATTTCTTTACTTCTTTTCTATTATTCTTACTTCCACCATGACTTCATACTGCAATTACCCCGACCAAGTCCGAAAGTCCGGGATAATCTCTACTCGCCGCAACCCAGATCTGCATCATGGTATATAACCCAGTATAGCCGCCCAAACTTCCACGTACGACCACAGGACTCAGAGAACTCGGGGTCCCGTCCGCTCCCCCCTTGATAAGCTGAGTACCGCCAGATCAGTAGTTGGGTCGGTGACGACCAGCGAATCCCTGGTGTTGTACGTTTTCATTTTTTGCAATTTCTAACTTAACTCTTCTCTAATATTTTTTTGGCCTAGCTGTGTGTGAGATGACGTACCGGGGTCCCGGGATCAATTGTAAGCGTGCGGCGGGACGTGTGGGGAATCTTCAAAAGGAAGAAAAAAAATCTTTGCACGCTAATAATAGATAGGGCAAGCAAAAGTGAAGGTCCGCCTGGGGGTCGAACCCAGAATCTCCTGATTAACTTGACGCTTTGCTTGCAAGTCGTAGTCAGACGCCTTACCATTGGGCCAACGGACCATTTCGACAGTATTTGTACTGTGATGGTGTTTGCTCTGCTTCTAGTCGTATATATACTAATGATTGTAGGGGAGAAGAGTCCCTCTTTAGCTATCTAGTATTCATTGTAGAGGAAGTGCTGTTGAGCGAACAATGCTTACTAGTAGCGAGAACCAACAAACATTTTACACAGAGCTGAAGGAATAGTTGACAGGTAATATCTGGTATAATCTTAGTTTTGACATTGCTTGACTGATAGCACATAGAGTTGTCTCATGAAATCTTTGTTAAAGATGTTCTACCGAGACCTACCCTAACACCCTTAAACACACAAGCTCCCTATACCCATCTCCACTTAGTCCAATTGGTTGAGATATACATACATCGATAAGAATCACGCAAAGCGCCAGAAAAGTTCCGAAGAGTGTAGATTCAAGATCTATTCATCACAAGGCCCATGAGTCGGGAAAGAGCCATATTATGTATTTACCTGAACCCGCTCCCGTAGGAGTCCCGGGCTCGCTCCTGATACGAACCGGCCTCTACGCACAAAGCCATATCCTTCCCTTCCCATCCCCGAGCCTGCGAGCCACGATGCTCCTGCGGGTAATAAAATAAATACAACATGACGCCTTTCCCCCCCTTCCGTCCCTCCGCTCGGCATGCCTCTTATTGTGGTCATGACTGCCTCGGAATTCCCACCCGGCCCTCAAACAGATGTACCACTCCGTTCGTACTTCGTCTCTTTAGACCGCCCTCCCGCCGTCAAGAAAAACACATGTTTTTGAAGGCTCTTTCACCTCCGAAAAGAGACGAAAGATGACAACCCACCCCGAAAAACGACAAAAAGGAAAAACATCCCCTGATCATCTTTTCTTCCACCAACATCGGTATTGGGTATCAAAGTCCCCAAGAGATCGAGCGTCACGACACGGCCGCCCGGAAAGCTCCCGCCTCTGATGGCGCCTAGGATATTCGCCGCAGCTGCTCGTGCCGAAACGCCGTCACCTCGTAGCGACGTAGTCAGTTTTTAAGACATTACATCCCCCGGTCCATGCTCGTCTCCGTATCCCGCAAATAAAAGACCCATATCAAAAGAACGGGATTGTATTGGCGGAAAGAGGTTAGCGAGCATAGACCGTCACGTCGAGTTAAGACGTCGCCCGTCAGCAAAAAGCATACATCGCCTCCCAAAAATAAAAATCCTTATCGGAGCATGTACACGCGAACAGGCCGTTATGTGTTTCATACCGTGGCGTAAAATCGTCAAGTTGCAATAAATGTCAATTGGATCCGCCGCGGTAAGATTCGTCGACTATGGCTCATGAGTGGAATAGATCCCAAGCTCTCTCACATAACCTCAAGAATTCTTCACGCTTTTGTCGTTGCGTTTCGGGGCTGTCTCGTCCTGCTCCAAATGGCCCTCTTCGAGTGGCCGCAGGTCCGTGACCCAGAGGGGGGCTGCTGCCTTCCTCGTACTCAGCACGCGTCCTTCGCTTGCTCGTACCTCGGTTGGCATCTAAGGGGTTAATTCCGTTTCGGGGCGATGGAGGCGTCGGGGGTTGATGCCCGGTGTAGTGAACGAGCTTGGGTAATAATTCTGGTCGTCCACCAGCCAATTCGTGCTGTACTTCCTCGGCCGATTTATACTCGCGAGCCCGACCCGACATGGGCGGCTGCGAAGGACCTGGCGGCGGGTGGCCAGGCGACGCTAATGGTCCATGGCTTGAGCCGGGATATAGGGCTTGACGGCCTGATTCTGCGTGCGAAGGAAGCCCTTGACCACCGAATACGTCAGATATCGGTGGCAGGCGGTTAGCAGTTTGGTTTGCTGGGATATGATGGATGTGCGATGTGCTGGAGAGGTTTGAGGGCTGGTTAGCAAGATGCCGAGTCAAAGGCTGAGGGTTGTGGCGGCCTGTGAATGTTTGGCCTAGCGGAGCGGATTGAATGACTCGCTCGTTGGCAAACTGCTCGTGGGAGGGCGCTACGATGCTCAACCCCGGAGGGGCCTTGTTTCTTCGAGACATTCCTGGTGTCTTCGCGGCGAATTGGCTAACAGGGTCCTTATCCTTTCCGTTATCAGGACCGTCACCCTTTGCCGATTGTTGTTGTAGCCTAGCCTCGATGATACGGCGCTGTTGTTCTCTAACATTCATGCTCTGTTGTAGGTGTTCCTTCATCACAGGATCTTGGGTGACAAAACCAGGCGACAGGCACGCTATGCCTACTTCCTGGATGCCTAATCCTTCTCTACCTAATGCCGGGCGTGCCGTTGCAGCGCCTGACCCAGTGAGGGTGTTCTTGGACAAATCCAGCTTCCGAGGACGGTGGCGAGCTACTGCTACCTCCGGAGAACCTGGTTCTTTCTTCACGATGATCTTGGGTGCCGAACTTCCCGGAGCATTTCGTGAACTGCAAGGCACGCGAGTAAGCAATTAGTTTTCTTAGATCGGTCTGATAATGAAAGTATATAGGAGAGTATGTTCTTTTTAATTGGATCAAAAATTTTACATTATGGATTGAAGGATCGGTCTCGACCCCGATGAAGATAAAAAGGAAAATAGGATGAGATGAAATAAAGCAAGGGGACCTTACGCGCTTGGTGGTGAAGACTTTGCCGCGGTCTGGGCAGCCGACCTGGTGGGACTTCGGCTGGCTGGACGTTGCGTTGTGGTTGTAGAAGCATTGGTGTTCGGAGTGCCCGAAACCGCAGCTGAAGTGCGTGGGACGGAAGGTGATGAGGCCGGCGCAGCGGCAGTTCCAGTAGTAGTTGATGAATTGTTACCCGCAGGAGCCAACTCAGCGTAAGCCGGTCTATCGTGGGGAGCCGGGGAAGGGGCCATAGCGATCGCCGCACTCATGATGGAAGGAAAAAAGCTTGAGCTTTTTTTTTACTTTTGAAATGTTCTTACTTAATGTGGTAATTCCAGGTACGGCTGGTGTTAGCTTGGAATTGAGTTTTTTTTCTTGTTATTCCTTGGTTTTCTGGTCGCTGATCCTCTCTTATTTTTATTCCCGGCTGAAATGGCTGGATGCGCCACACGGGAGTTGGCAGCAAGAAAAGGAAAAATGAGCGCAAAAGTCTTGAAGCGTTGCAGCGATGGGACTGACAAGACGCTCCAGACGTCAGCGAAATAAATTGACGAAAAGATGAGGCGCACTCTGAGCTTTGAGCCCTCCTTCACAACTGCGCTCTGCAGAGCCTAAGTCGCAGAAGTATTGATGTTGGGTCCCGAACTATTTGTGCGAATGGCTTTGTGGCCAATAATGATCAGTTTCTCCTTTTTTTCTTGAATCTGCCCGACTCCGTATTGGTAGGGTGTTCAAACGCGCCAATGATCGATGGCTCGATCGATTTAACCTATTAATTCCTCTGATGAGCTACCTTAGCTTGCCAATCACGAACAGAACGATGAACGAATAGGCAAGATGCGCGTCAGCTCCGAGTAAGCAGATAATTCAGTTTAGTATCGCGCGCTTTGCTCGTGAAATCCCGGGCCTTGAACCGAAGCGGATCAGCTATGGTTTGGTGCCGAAGGGGCTGAAATGTGGTGGTGATGTATGTGTCGTATAGTCGATTGCGAATAAGTCCGCCGATGAAGACAGAAACCGGATAGCCAGGTGTTCGGATGAGATCGAATGTCCAATGTCGAATGTCGATTATCGGTTCGAGAGGTGCCCCTGAAGATCGGATCCGATATGTTGGCGTTTCTTTCTTTCCCCTCCTTTGTCTTTTTTTTCTTCGGACTTTGTAACTCTACGATTGTTCTTGACTTGATACGATGTCTCTCAGGTCGGCTATGAATTAATGAATGCTTGAGTCTCCTTATCTTTTTCTTCTCGATACTACCACACCAGTATGTAAATTCCTGTCGCGCTGCGTCGGGCTCGTCGCACAATGTGGGCAACTGGCTTTCGGAGAGCGAGGGATGTCTGCCGGTTCGATGGAATCGGTGTATTACTATGGTTTATGATATGGTATGGGTATGGGTGTATGGTATAGACAGATACCAAAAAAAGTGGCTTGAATTGGAGATTCGGGAAATCGAACGAAAATAGCACGAGACTCGACTTGACTTTGATAGTTTTGACGATTGTAAATGTTGTATATACGAACCGTACCGGAATTGATTTTCCCCCAAGAGAAAAATATTAAAGAACAGAAAAGGAAAAAAGGAAGGATTAACAGGGAGCAAAAAAAAGTGTAGCGAAAGGACTCGACCAAAGACGAGTACGGAAGGTATGGGATTAAGGTAAAAGGTCGAAGGGAGGAAAGGGTAAGAAAGGTTTCGAGGCGGAAAGAGGGGCACGCTGATGGGTCGACCTCCCATGTTATTAGCGGTTTCCTTCAGGGAGATGTAGAGGATGTAGAGGCAGCGCACCTGGCAGAACCTGGTCAAGGGACTGGACTGAGGGACTGGAGGTTACTAGGTAGTAGCAGGTAGCGGGTAGCAGGTGGTAGAACAGCCAGAGTGTGCCAGAGTTGCTAGAGTGCAGCAGGTGCAAGAGCCTAGAGGTGCCAGACTAGAGGCCACAGGCTAGAGGCAGGTAAGTTCCAGAAGCACAGACTTTACCCTGTCGGTACCTAAGGTACGTACAGCTTCTCCAGGGCTGGTACTGGTTTTACTGTTTTAGCCCAGGATATTCTAGGAGCAGAGGAGTGAAAAAAGACTGGGATGACTAGGATGGACTAGGATGGTCCTGGGTTAGTACTTACCCTATTAGGCAGACTGAGTCGTTAGCGTGCTTTAGCTACGCTGCAGACGCAGCACGGACCCAGACGCGGCCTACAGCGCTAGTGTGCCAGGTAGACACTAGAGATTCAAATCCCTCCGAATCACGATTTATGAAAGGGGAGACGGAATGAAGAATGACACAAGCTATGTGTGAGAGAAGTGTGGATTCTGCGAAGACCTGGGGCAAGCAAGGACAGGTTTGGGGAGCAGATCCCTGTTCGTTGAAGAAGATCAATAAGTTCAAGGTTTACGAATATTATTATCGAATATCCAATATCGAGA